GTGTGTGTGTGTGTGTGTGTGTGTGTGTGTGTGTGTGTGTGTGTGTGCAACGCTGAAATGGTCAGATGCGGCCTTTTGTCAGTACTGCTGGTGATTGGTTGAAAACAGTCCGGTATAGAAACCAGTGAAGGCTTGTCTGAGCTAAAGCAGATGCCTTTCCAACAGAAACACGATACTGGGCTTGTTTGTGTGTGAGTTTTTCACCTAAGCAGTCAACAGGACGAGTGGAAGTGTGGCTGTACATGTGTGTATGGACAGCCAGTCCATGTTTTTGTACACTTCCCTGAGGCAGCACTCAGTGGCCTTTCAGCACCTGTCAGCGTGTGGAGACACATGCATGACTGGGCTTACAGTGAGGTGTGAATGAATACCGGGCATTTTTGAAAGCAAACAACAGCAATCTAGCCCTCTCTGGCTACTGGTGAGCTATATGTATTTGTATAAGCCGGGTACTTGAAATGAAATGACATCTGCATTGCTCCAAGTGTGTATGGGGCAGAAAGGGAAAGAAAAAGAGCGGGCGTGGTTTGTGTTGTGGTGTCAGCCATGATGGATGGGAAACAGAAACATATGGTTTGCCATTGTTACCTGGTAAATCCCTCTTTTGCTTTTGAGCTTTCTGCATGGTCTCCAGGTGCTCAGGCTGACATGGCTTGAGAAATGCCATCACTCACAAAACTGCTGAGAGTAGAATAAAAGAAATAATATGAGCCACCTGTGGTCTGCCAGAGCCTGGACTGGCAAGTAAAATGACAACAAGTGCTAGTGTTTGTCTTCTTACACCCCACAACAGCAAAATGCTATGAATGGCAATGGCAAATGGATTGCATTTGGATATTATATCGATCTACTTAATCTCTCAAATCAGTTTTATGCAACAATGCACACCCATCTCCCCATTTTACAGACAACACTTCACTACATGTGGAACCTCATGTGGGATATTTTCTTTACGCGCCCTCGATACACATTTAGCATAATTTAAAAGCTGAAGCCTACCCGTGGATATCTGCTCCCTGTCCATCCCTTTTTGACCACATTGTCCCTACCATCATGCTCCAAAATTACACCATGAAGAATCAAACCAGTTCAGACAGAAAAAGGGAGTCCGACCTTTAACTGGTGCTCGACCGCGGCCTTGATTTCTCTATTAAAAATGTTTGTAACATTGATGATCAGAGAAATAAATAAACAGAATGTTTGTTGTTAGCTATTGAGTCATGTGACTACCTGATAAATTAACCCAAAGCAGCCTGCCTGATGGAACCCGCATCCAGTAGGTGTTAAAGATAAAGATATAACTGATAAGTGGGGCCAGTGCCCCCCCCCCCCCCTGGGCTGCTGAGCTCGCTGTAGGTACTATAAAGGGCCAAAAGTGCCCTTGTGTGTAACTTGTGTAAGTTTCCGTTCATCACGATTCACTTATTTCCTATTCAACCGTGAGATCTGTGTGTGTAACCTTCGTCTTTTTTACCAGGAGAAAAAAATATCTTTACAGAGGCCAAAATCCTCATGAGGACAAAAATAAATCCAAGTTTCAGACTAAAAAACAATCTAATTCGGATTCAACTTTGCATAATTACAAAACCTGGCACCAAGGCTGATTTCTTCATTCAGATCTCTCATTTTGCTGCTTGGTCTTCTGGCAGCAGCTGCTTTCAGTAAAAAAAAGAAAATAATAATAATCTAATTAATGGAATTTAAGAATCCCTCATCAGTGATAAACGTAAAACAGTCATCCAGCCCAAAATTGGCCCCAGCACTCATTTCCAGAGTCAGCCTCCTCCATCTGAAGAGCAAAACACAGCCATAGAGCCTCAGACGTGCATGCAGTGTGCACACTTTGCAAATCCCAATCTGCTGGGATTGGATGTGATGGTTTCTACAGGACACAGGCTCAACCCACAAAGACCCACTCATACAGGACCAAAAGCATCATTTCTAACAGCCTGGTGCTTCTTCCACACCCTGACCAGTTCTTTGAAGAACCTCTTTCTAAATTTAGGCAGATGATTGCCATGAGATAACTGATCTATTTTTACATCTTAAATGAATGATAATTATATTAACATTTAAAGCCTTTGCTTTGTATAATTGTGTAGCCCATACCGGCAAATGTAGAGCTTTTTGGTAACCATGACACTGAAAACAAGCAGAACAAACTATTTGTTTAAATCAACATCTGTTTCCTACAATTCACAACTGCTGGCGTTGGGGGGCTCAGACATTTGCTGAGTAGACCCGTGACTGTAGGTGAATCTAAATAACTCCACAAACAACTTGTTGCTTTTCTTCAGCCTCTTCCTAACAAAGTGTTGTCAAACTTTCCAAGTCAAAAACGTTCTTGTTGAGTGTGTGATTGCAAGCAGCTGACAGAGTTTATTTTTGCGCTGGTGTGTGTGTTCGGGTGTGTGTGGAGAGGTTAAAGTGTGAGAGCCTTTGGTTGGTTGGTGTGTCACAGTGGAGTGCACCTTGAGGCCACATGTGAAACAAATGTGTTCCGAAACACCACAGGCTGAAAGAGTAAAAAACGACTTTCTCACATGCAAACAGGTCAGACGCAAGCTCAAACTACCACTACGCTTCTATCCTAACCGGATGCCGTTCAACGAGGTTGATTTGTGTGACTCAATCTCATTTCACTTGACATGAGAATGCGTTGGGGTCTGCTCGCAGATGCTCGGACTTCCTCTTCGTTGGTCTATGTGATCTATGGATCCATCTCAGTTTCTCTTCTCTGCTTCCAAAGCATTCCACAGCAATTAGCAGCTACATTTGAAGGCTGATGTCGGAACGACGTCCTTTGATCCGACTTCTCTCAAGTTGTGTAAGGCATCAGCCGGATTACATAAAAACCTTTCTGGTCAAATTTCATTAGTCTGCACAGAGTGGCCAGGCATGTGCGAAGGGAGAAGCCATGGAGCCAGCAGCCACGTGACTGAGGAGGAAGGAGTTAAAGGGCACACAGGAGGCTCCCCCTAACCCTAACCCTAACCCCAACCCTAACCCCAACCCTAACCCCAACCCTAACCCTAACCCAGATCTGGGAACAGTACTGTGATACAAGATTGGGACAAGTTTTGCACAAACACAGAGCAATCAGTAGCATTCCAAAAAAGTTTGTAAATCAAACTTTTGCTGAAGCCATCGGGACAGAAGAAAAACTTGCTGCTCTTTTATTACATGATTAGTTTACCTGAGATAAAAAAATGACAGAAATATCATATTTTCTGATTTTTTCATTCCTATACGTATGCCACACAAAGATTAAGGTTATTACTTAAAAAAAGTTTTTAAAAAAAGTATTGTCATTTAAAATACACATCATGCATCTATTAGAGCAGTATTTTAGAGCAGAAATGTGGTACCAATACTTATGTGATAGAAGGATTCAGAACACAGCCTTTCGAAATGGGTCATCCCAGAAAAAAAACTATTTGTTTTCAGAGCTCTGTAAAATGTTGTGGAAGCTTTATCCCATCATCACATTTTAGCTCTTCAGGCAGATGAGATCTCAGCATTTTAAATTGTTCGTTTCATAATTAAATAATTAATACATCCACAGACCAAAATCATTTAATTTCAAAATGGACTCTTTTTGGTAAAAAACATAATAAAAAAAACTATATAATACTGATTTGATATTTGATATTTCCTTGAATTATTTTCAATTCTTTTTCAATTGCTACAAAGACAATATATTCAACATCTTGTTTGTTATAAGTTCAAGAACAGCAAGGACAGGGGAAACAAACGTGTGGGAAAGTCGAGGAAGGCTAAAAAAACCAGCATTTTTGGAACATCCCACGGCTGAACCGCTTCATCTGAGGCAGGTGATGATTGTCATGATTGGTTATGAAATGAGCATCCCCGAAAGGCTCAGTCCTCCCTTCCTCCTTTCCTTTAATTAATCTGTGGACAATCTTCAGTCACACAGCATACCTCTCCTTTCTCCCCGAAACTCTCACAGATCCTCTGTGAGGAACTGTAATCCTTTTAATCTAAAGTCAATCTGTTTTAGAATCAGCTTACCTTAAGATCTATTAGCCTAGACAGTTTTCTCCAGGTCACTGGATTGCCATCATCTAATCTAAAAACTTGGGGTTTAATCATTACTAAAGTGGCTCATTTTGAAAACTAAAAAACATACTTTTCCCCATTTTTTTATTGACTTTGCATGTGTTTTTCATATTTTTTTTAATTGTTGAATTCAGTTTGCACAAACAACCTCAAAGATCAATGTATTATGTAAATGTGCTCACTATCATGTCTTACTGTCCTATGTGAGAGAGTAAAGGCGCCATTTTATTTTGCTTTACCTGTGCAGGTCTTTCAATGATGCATCAAAACGCATAAGGAAAAAAAATGACTTTTTTTTTTGTCATAATTTCTCACGGATATCTATGACCCTAACATAGGATGAAGAAGCCGGTCACAAATTTCCATTTTTTCAAAGGCAGCTGCTTAAATCTCAATACAAAAGGGCTGTTTTCTAAGAAAAGACAACTCTATTTCTGGAAACATGCCAACCAATTTGTTTTTTCCATTTAAAAGCTGCTGTGACAAGTCACACCTTGTGTAAAAGTGACAATCTTAAATTGTTAATCTTTTTCTGTTAGATTGATGATTACAAAGACTGGTGAATGTGAAATGATCAGTCTAATAGAAGTTTCATATTGAAATGATAGCATGTTGTTGACTCTAAACAATCTTGTGTGTGTCAGATGAGTTATTTTTCTACCAGGCTGGGTTGAAAACACCAAACTTTTGAACGCCGTGTAAAATTCAAACCATGCTTTATATGAACTAAGAACAGATCCAGAGCATGTCCAATGTCATGGTGTGACTTGTCAGCTCACATTTAGCTGATCACAGGAAGAAAACACTAAGTCCTGGCTCCATTTACAACTTACTTCACCAAAACCTTGTTTTTTTATATCAAGCAGTAAAATGTACCTTTTTTTAATCAAGTTAATCCATTGTTATCAATCATGGTGAATTTATTCAAACTGACTTTAACTACAAATGTGAAGGACTGATCAAAGGAAGGAAAGATGTGGCTTCACTAAAACACCACGCAGACGCTTTCATGGATATTTGGTTTGGGTTTTATGCATTTTTCATATGTTGATGACTGGCTACCACAGAATAAATCATAGCTGAAATCCAATAAAATGTCAAATGTTTGGACCCACCATTCATTTTCAAATAGCTATGAAACCAGATTTCAGTTACATGTGGATTTATCAAGTAAGTGAGATAAATTCTAAATAATTGTTGCCTTTTTTCTTTCACAAAACACTTTTTTATTAGAACCTTTAAGTGAGAATAAATACTGTACATCCCATCTCACAGTCTTGTGGGTTCAACAGCGGCAGCAGAACCCTTCTGAGTAGTTCCAGATAGGCTGAGATATTAAAACTATCGGGAAGCCTCACGGATGTATAGCATGATGTAGACTGATTCAGTCTTCTGAGGGCCGCATCTACTATGTGTGTGTGTGTGTGTGTGGGTGTGGTATGCACGCATAATAAATCCCTCTTTACGTGTGCGTGTAGGACTCCAAAACAACAATGCAGAAGTGCACTTTCTGGTACAATCGGCCTTCCTTCATACCAAGGTCAGGGCTTAGATCAGAAGAAGGTTTTTCTGTGAGTTTTGTAATGATGTCAGACAGACAGATTTACTTATGAGTAAATCTAACAAGAGCATTTCTCTCGTTTGCAGTTTGAATCAACAACACTAAGGTTGGGCTGGGCTAGTTCTTTGCTTATATTGGAATTGCTTGAACCTTATTTCTACCAAGCCCACACACTCCCTGAAGTCTTATATGTTTGTACATTTAAAATCAGTCAATCAATCAATTTTTTCCCGAATTAAGCTAACTTCATTCACATATGTTTCTTTTGTCAGATGGCTGAACACATCAGTAACTGGGACTGACTTTATTTCAACCTTTGCTCAGCATTTCCAGACCCTGATTTAATCAATCAAACAAAAACATCTATACAACACAAAGCAAAAGAAAACTACCTGACAGCTACAACAAAATATTACCTACGTTTCTGATAGCTACAGAAAAATCTTTCCTCATCGTGTTGATAATTGCAACTATATGAGTCCAGAAAACTGACTTTAAGGCAGGCTGTCTGTAACATCTGTTCAATCATACATTTAGCCACAGCCTTTACCCTCTGCTTCAAAAACATCTATAAAAAATCACTTCTAAGGCCACAATTACCCGTTTTGTGCAGCTATATTTAACTTGCCACTGTACAAATAGAGAGACGCAGATGGCTTTATGTTCTTGTGGAAAGCAGTCGGAGTCATGACAGTTTGCGGATGCAGCTTGAAATAAATGCTGTTTTTGTGTGCATATAAGTGTTTCCATGTCTGTTATTTTAGAAGACATTTATTTGCCTTCTTTTCAATCAAACTGTATCACAGGCTGCTTCTGTTGAGGACAGACAGCACAGCTGACCAAACAACTTTTTTTGGTATTGCTTCTGGACAAATCGGCATACATTTAGCTCTGGGAACGTTTTGCTCCATTATTACACTATGATCAGAGGCTAAATATTTGTTTCAAAAGAATGCCATCTTAACTATAAAGACAAAAAACATCTCCATTTGAAGAGAATATAATGGTGACTGAGAATAATAAACCGAGTCAAACAGTTTATTCTACAGAACTATCTATCTATCTATCTATCTATCTATCTATCTATCTATCTATCTATCTATCGTAAATATATAATGTATTTATGTATTACATATGTCCAGTGTTTGCCCTTGCAAAATGATGTAATCACAAGAAAAAGGTAGCATCTTGCTGTCCTCTAGTGGTCGTTCACAATTTTACATAATTTCATTGTTTGTCAGGAAAATCGGTTAAATTACCTGCGTTGTGCCGGAAGTGGCTTTTCTAACATTGGCTGGACTGGAGAATAAAAAAACAAATCGTTTATAGATAAGGCACGTGCTACATTGTACGCCCATTGCAACTTTAGAAAGTCGTAACTGAGAAAGCAACAACTGTTTTCAGACCGGATGTTATGAGAAAATAAAAAATCTTACAGTGCCATTTTTTTTCTAACCAATAACTTGATGTAATAGTTTGCGGTTACCTTCGAGTGCAGCATTTGGCGTTGCGTGATGACGTATCATGTTACGTACGTACACATGGGCCGTTGCATAACTTCTGCCGTGTGTAGTCTGACTGCAGGGGCTCGCGCTGACATTGGGAGATAACCGAACCTTACCAAACAACGAGTCAGAGGCATTTCACAGGTCAGTTTTTCCTGTTATTTATTTTTTACGTTCACTAGAACATACAATGATATTCTGAAAGAGTAATGAATATCCGGCTGAGAATACGCTCAAAAGAAATTTCTAGAACATAGTTAACATTTCCCCTGACTGGCTGCCTAGCAGAGGCGCTAGGTAGTTCGGCTAACGTCTAACAAAGGAGGTTGTGTAAAGTAGTATTACACTCAAGGACATTAAATCTGAACCAGACACGATTATTTGGGTTTGTTTTAGTGTATCAGGTTTGATAAAGTGTGATAGTGAGTTATTGTCCTGACATTGAGACGGAGTTGTGGGGTCAGGCTATGCTAGCGTAACCAGCTTAAGGTTAGTTTCACCATGGCTTGGTCTTATGTCAGACCAACTTTAGCTAAACAAGCAGCCGATCTGGATTTTAAGTGGGGTGTTAAGCACTTTAAAGCCCGAGAGGAACTCGAGTTTACACAGGAGACCGAAATGTCAGTATTGATTACTTTTTGTTACGAAGAATTTAAAAAAATGTAAATGCCTTACTAAGAATTTTGACAGTATTTGTTCATCTTATTGACGGGAATTGAAACGTGTATCAGCAATAAGATAAATAAAATTTACTGCTATTCCTTGTTTGCAGCGAAACTGGGTTTGGAGCCCTGCTGTATTAAAAACGCTCATGATTTCCATTTTTTTCCCCTCCAGCATGTTCCATACTATTTGTGTTTTGAGATTCCACTCGTGTCGTAACTCCCCTGAGAGCTATTGGTGCAGAGGCCATAACTATTCCCACACAAGTGTATAATATGTATGTATGTATTTTAAAAATTTTTTCAAATTTGTTTTATTTTTTTACTTCATAAAGGCCAGGATGGGGTCTGCCGTTTCCACTCCCAGTGCCCTGACAGTCAAGGCAGAGGTGATGATGGCTAACCCGCCTGAAGGCTGCCCTATGCACCAAGAAGTCAAGCCTGTCAAAGGTATGCTGATTTTAATGTTATCATTATGTCATGTCAAATTTGAAATTGTTGAAATATGTCCACCACTTTGAATGTGAGTGATTCTTCTGTTTGCAGTGTCCCCACCCTCAGAGTGTCCCATGCATCAAGCTCAGCCTGTCCAAGGTAGAGCCATAATTCCAGAGGGATGAGGCAAAGTCTGCACCTGCGTCAGGCAGTGATCCTCAATCTTTTTTTTTTTTGTCTCCAGCAGTATCTCCTCCATCAGAATGTCCCATGCACCAGGCACCGGCAGGTCCAGTTCACCAGGACCGGGCCTATGAGTTTGTGGAATGTCCCATGAAGGCCTCAGTTGGCATGAAGAGCGACATTGATCCAGCAAACATGGTACCAGCACCACCTTTTTAGAAGGGTTTTATATTAGTACCTACTCCATCCTACTTGAGTCTGCTCGCCTCGCCACAACTTGGTTTAGGTGGTTGTCCGTCAAAAGTAGGGTCCTGAATAGCCGAGGGTCTCCAAGGAGTCGCTTTCATGCCTCATGTGACTCCCTGGTTTGTTTATTAGGCATTAACGACCTTTATGACAGAAATAATTAAATGACCCCTTTGTTGTCAGACCCTTTTTAAAATGGGCCTAACTAAGTCACCATTAAAAAAAACAACAAACTTGAATTAAGTTGAGAACTGAGTAGATTAACCTGGATATCCACTCTAGAAGCTTAAAGCTGTGAATACAAAAAGCCAGCCAGCAACAGCGAGGAGTCTCTGTCAGGTCTCCTTTGATCATCAGCATCTAAAAATGGAAACAAGCCCGTTGACTCTTCTCAGATGGACTATCGCCAGCTAGCTTCGCTACACTATCTGAGCCTGTTAGGAAGACAGTTACTAATCTTTTAGTAATACGAGGCAGGCTATTGCTCTTGCTCTCATAAATCACTTTTAAAAAGTGGTCCGTGACATGGACATGTTGGTGAGCTGCTGCTTTAAGTGGAGAGATGCAAATGAGAAGCGGTTGTTGATGTGTTCAAGTCAGCTGGTAGCTCTTTGTCTCCTGCATATTCACTCATGCACTCCTCATTTTACTGTGATAATTATCCTTCATTTGACTCTCAGTGGGGAAGTTTGTGATTCGTCCGGTATTCAGATGTTTTTGTGGTCATGCATTAACTTTGTTGGAATGTTCGAAACGTTAATGGTTGACTGTTGTTTGTATTCTTTTCTGTAAAGATGCCTCCTCCTAACCAAGTACCCGCTCCAGATCAGCCCTTTGGCCTGTCCAAATCCAGAGAGGAGTCTAACATTCCCCGCCACGGCACAGAGAAGAACTGGGTTTATCCATCTGAGCAGATGTTCTGGAATGCCATGCTGCGAAAAGGGTCAGTTCCCCTTAGCAGATGTCTATGCTCCATTTAAAGGCCGGGACCAGTGGTTCTGGGTCATTTGGGGTGTTGAGCAGCTCTGTCTCACTTTGCTGGTGTCTTGTACCGCAGGTGGCGCTGGCGAGATGATGACCTTGCCCCTGATGACATGACTAACATCATCAAAATCCACAACAAGAACAACGAGCAGGCCTGGAATGAGATCCTGAAGTGGGAGGCTCTGCGCGCGGGGTCGGTGACATTCTTCATAGATTTTGGGTTTAGCTACTCCCTCATCAGAATGTTGACAGTGTTTTCCTCCCGTTTCCTGCCAGTGAGTGTCCCTGTGGCCCCACACTGAAGAGGTTCGGCGGCAAGGCCAAAGAGTTTTCGCCCAGGGCGCGTTTCCGTAACTGGATGGGGTGAGTGCTTTCAGGTTGTGCTCTCATGACCCGCTGGCTCTGGGGCTGAAGCCCAACAGCTAGTGGGGAAAGTTTCAAATATCAGCCACGGTTGAGCCGGCAGTAAGGGGAGGTTTCTCTGCAGGTACGAGCTCCCCTTCGACCGCCACGACTGGATCGTCGACCGCTGTGGGAAAGAGGTGCGCTATGTCATTGACTACTACGACGGAGAAATCAACAGAGACACCTACCAGTTCTCCATCCTGGACGTGCGCCCGGCCTTCGATTCTCTGGACGCCGTCTGGGACCGCATGAGGGTGGCCTGGTGGCGCTGGACCTCTCAAGACTGAGAGAGGCCGGGAGTTCAAACGAGTTCTGCAAACGGTTGGCATGAGACTGGGTGCTGTAGGAAGAGTAAAGAAAAGTATCAATCTAAATGAAAAGTCATACTGTGTGACGTTCTATCTGCTCGTCTATTCATGCTTTGCAGTTGATAGCTTATTACAACGTGCATCTTAGATTCCTGTTTGGTCCAGCGGTCAGGTGAACCAGTCCGGTGAGGCTCCAGTACTAGAGCAGCTTCCTAAAACTCCACAGTTGTCACTTCCTGCCACCGGAGGGTCCACAATGTCTTTCAGAGGGAGCTTAATCAGATTTCTTCAGACTTAAATGGCAGAGTCCAGAGACTGAAAACAACAACAGCTGGTCTTCTCCTGTAACTTCCCTTTGACCCGCAGAGCTGTTGGTTCTGGTCTAGCACAGCCAGGCACTGACAGCAGTGAGAAAACCAGCAGGAGGAGGCATTCCTCCACATTCTAAACAAGGGAGACCAAAGCTGATTGCGTCTTGGGAAATGTGTCCTGAGACTTCAGCTGTTTTCAAATGCAGACCCCCTTAACATTAAAAGGTGTGGACACAGAGGTCCCATAGTTTTAGTCATCAAACATCAAAGAAGCTGCTGACATCAGGCCAAAGCTTTAGAGGGGTGTCGTCCTGCTTCTGGATCCCATTCAAACGGTTCATGTCCACATCTTGTATGAATCCGCCTTACGTCTGATAAATGCTCTGTGGGACGTTTTGAGTTCCAAAAACTAGAATAAGGACTAAGACTAAAGACTAAACCATCAACTCTCTGCCGCTAAATGCCACACATTTAGTGAACTCTGAAGGTGTATAGAAACGGTCAGCATCTGTAAGTGGGCTTTGCTCCCCGGCTGGTGGCAGTTTGAGTGGAGGCCTCTGAACGCTGCTCTGAACACGACTGTGCTGTGAGAGCTGCACACGGACAGGTTGAGACTGACAGGACTTAGTTGTGTTGGAATTGAAAAAGCTTCAGGGTGGAGTGGCCTGCCGTTGACCCTTGACCCTTTTTAAGCCTGTTCCAGATCAACATCTGATGCTTGTTAATTAGCCTGTGTGATGCTATAGCAGAACATCACTCTGTTTTTGTTCTGTTACACTGTCTGCGCCCAGAAATCCATTTAATCCGAAGTACTACCTTTGAATTGACTTTTCGATCATTTAAAATGTTTTATTTATTCTTTGAATGTGTGATATTGTGCACAGAAAAACCGTCACTATCTCAGTGCTTCAATTCCCGGAAAACTTGATGTTTCAAACAGTTATCTCGCTGGTTTTATCATTCTCAATAAAGCTGGTCCTCGTCTGCCTCTGAACGATGTCAGTCTTTGAAACTATACTTTGCAGCTACGCTTGCCAAAAGGTGAGTAGTGAAAGGTCTGATTCCAGTTAGTTTATCCAGTAAAACATGAGGGGAAAGTTTAAAAACAGACCCACTAAGCAGAGCAGCGTGTCAGTGCGCTGCACGACGTTTCCTCTGAAGGAACTGCATTGGTCTGAGAATCCTGATAATTTTAGCTTTGATTTACATAGTGAAAAACAGATTTTTACAGGTGAGGTTCATTTCAGGGCCCTTGCACTGAAAAACCCCTTCTCTGGCCTTAAAGGCTGGTCCAGGCCTTTGGGTGGTGCCTGGGCCTAATGCCCTGATGGGCTTAAGCACAGCAGCCGTGGAGGTGTCAGCCAGACGCCACCACGGCAGCTTAGTGCATCTTAAAAGTTTACAGCGCCTGGGTCTGCAGGTATAAAGTGTCTTCTTAACTCTCGTGACGTCACGCAGCAGGACGAGTCTCCCGGCAGCTCTGAGAGACGCCTGAATGCAGATAAAATCACTTCCTCAGCAAGATGGGTAAGAATTAGATGACTGCTGCCCAGTCAAATGTTGAAATGTCTATGAATGTTTTGCTATTTTCCAGCTAGACACAAGAGGGGGGTGTTTCAAAAGATTTGGAAATGAATCTGACTCATTCATTGTTTATTCCAAATGCACCAGTTAAATAGACCTTCATCCTGCTGACTGGACGGAGAGGAAGTCTCTGATTCACAGGACAAAAACAGAAAAAAAACAGCTTTTGCTCAGATTTTTATGGACTAATCAGCAGTGGACTAAAGAAGAAGAGACAGTTTACTGCACTTGTTTCAGAAAAAAGGGACTAAACGAATTTCAACTCTGCATATCTTCCAGATATTACTCATTTAATATTAAAATATCTAAACCAAATTGCCTTCTGAGAGCATTTCCATTAAACTTATTAATGTTTGTGTGACTTTCCAGTTTGTTGCTGTTGCTGCAACCTTGTGATTATTGAGCTTAATGCCAGTAAATAAGTCAGTACGAATGCTGCTCATATCTTGTGGATTCTGTGTTCTGTTAATGAGGCAGGCAGGGAAATTAATTACTTTCTTTCCCTGCTGCTGATTGTGCATTACAACGAGGCTGCTTTTATCCGCTATATGTCAGTCATTGTGATGAACACAGTTTATTCAGCTGCTCTCCTCTCAGCTTCTGACATCCATTAAAGCCTTTGCGTTGGCCGTGCATCTCCGTGCACGGCCTGGAGCTCTGCTCACAAGTATATTCACATTCCACTGTTTCCTTATGCTTCTGTGGTTATCCTATGATGGAACTCTGAAAGTGACTAAAACCATTGGGATGTTTGGAGCAGAACTGATTATTATTCACCATATTTCTACCTCCAGTACTGCTCTCCTAGTCCTCCAGTGCCTGAAGACAGCTCCAGAAATATGAGATGAGCTTGATGAACACAACATGACTCTTGGTTTCTGATTTTTATTTCCATCTTTTAAGGCTCATGTCAGTAGAGAAGTCAGTCATTCTGCCTTCATTCTGTCCGTACAATTTCTAAATGTGAGCTTTTCTCTCTTTAGGTGTGAAGCTGACTGACACCTGACAACCTTATTACATATGTTAAAGGAAAAAAGCTGGTTCAACACCATGTCTGTTTGGCTGTAATTGGACAGCCATGGCAGTCCAAATGGATCCAGCAAAGAAAATCCTTTTGGTTTGGTACCATACTGCTCTTTGAATACATAACTGTGAAGATTCCCCTCTCAGAAACTGTGTCTGTTGTCAGAAGTGAGAGGTGTGTCTGTGTCTCAGGGAGGCCCGCGCAGCAGAGGCCCAAACAGCCCCCGGCAGTCTGCGTGGAAGTCAGATATTTTATCATATCTGCTCTCAGTAGTTTCCATTTCCATGGCAAAGTGGGGTCAGCGTGACACCCTCCACCAGCACCCCACTGGAAGCAGGCTCTGGCTGCATGTCAACCAGCCATCAGGAGTCCTCTCACTACAGAACGCAGCTCTGGCGGAATTAACAGGTTAGCTTGTCTTTTAGCAGCTTGTCAGTGTGTTAGGATTCATTTAAATTTCAAATGAATGTGTATAGAACTTTCAAAGCACTAGCACAAAAAACCCTCAGACTACACTCTCCTAATACCCAGCCCTCGTGTCTATGAAATTAAAAGAGTTGCTGTACTTCCACAGACATTTTTCTTACCGTATTTAGTCGCAGTCACTTTTTTAAAAATGGGAATGAACCACCAGACTGTTTCTGCCGCTTGTTTATCCAAAATATTAAAATACATTAAAAGCAAATAAAATTATTCAATTTTCAAATCATTGCATACTTCACACAATCAAGGATTCTGGTTGCAGGTTTTCGACACCCGACTTTTCATTCGATATATAAGTGCACTCTGTTGTACTTTCGATCATTTCACAGAAGTCATAGATGAACTGAGTTTATTTCAAATGTGTCTTAAGCAGGCTTAAATTTGACTTCCTGAAGTTCCAATCAAAGTTGAGTATTTTTAAAGCTGGATCATTTTCAGTTTAATTCCATACACGACAGGTTCTGATCTGGTGGAAGCCGTCAGAGACATCACAAAAAGGAAATGGCTTTTTGTCATCACATCAGCTCTGTTCTGAAATATAACAAGCCTAACATATTTTCTAAATCTGAAGTATTACCGGATTAAAGGTCGCACAAATAATTAGTTCAGAGGAACCTGTATTGTTTGTTTTTTCATTTTTTTTGCATGGTCGTTAGAGTTAGGGTTAGGGTTATGGTTAGAGTTATTCTTTACTAGGTGAGGTTGATAAGTACACTGAATAAAGGTCAAGTTGTTTCAGGAAGAATGTTGCTGATTCTAAAGGTTGTGTTTCCATGGTGTCTTGTCTTGGGGGGGATCTGGGGAACTCAGGGACAGGGTCTTGCTTTTTGTTGCTTTTTCAGTTGTTTCATTAAACAGAAAAGAACATCGTTCCCTTTTCCCTCCCGTGAGGGCTCGCCACAGCACACCAACATCGACTCGCCCAGAGGCTTTTTGGCATGAGCTCCTGACGTTAGCTCCCATTAACCAGGCCTGGGACCAGCAGGAACAGGACACACAGCAGGGCTCTCCATTTTAAGCTGCTTTACAGGGAACTGGAGCTTCAATATCACGTCACTGTCCAGTCACCACCGTTTCTCAGCTCCGCCTCTGTGTGTCCCTGGTCCTCTCCTTCCGGGTTCACCTGGCTGTGGCGGTTTCCTGTCCCCCATTTACGCCTCCTGGATCCCAGCCTTCCCTCTTTTTGCCCCCACTTCTGTCAGCATCCCAGCATTACTGGCTATGATCTTGTTCTCTAGCCCTTTGGCCTTTGCCTTGTTTTTTGCATCCCACATCTGAATCTCAAGCCAATCAGAGTTTGTACATTGGATTCCTCTCCAAGTCCTTGTCAGTACAAACTAGCCAACAACAGTCCAACAGACTCAGATCCCATGCAGCTCAGTTTTGGGAAGAGCCAAATCCTCGGCCATCCAGCAAGCCCACCTTTAATAATCACTTGTGGATTGTGTGATGTGCTCGTGCTGTGCACGTCTCTGTATGCGACGTGCATTCTAACATGGATTGCCATTCTAACATGGATGTAGAGTATTAAAGGCAATAGGCAGATATTGGGAGACAATTAAAGGATAAAGAAAAAGGTACAAAATTATGAAACATAAAAATGAAAAAATACCACCTGCATTTATGAACATTATGATTTGTTTACATTTCAAGATCATTTTATACTTTCAAACTTACAACTAAATAAAATCATTTGTTTGAGTATCTCCTAAACAGATCCTCAAACAAAAAATCCTGCTAGCCATTAAGACCAAGAATTTTGGTTTTGTGTAGAGGCTCAACAACAAAAAAAACCAAAAGAACATGTTTACTGTTGTGTAATATTTACCTAGCTCAATTTCTGTAGTGTTCTAAACGATAGAACATTATCACCTGATCACATTTCTAAACATTTCTAAATATGATTGTTGAAAGAAAATCTTAGAGGTGGTTCTTCTGCTCATAGGGGCGCTTAACAGTACAAAAATGTTTATTTTGCTTGTTTGCAAGTTTCTATTGTAAATATTCACAATCTTGCTGAAGACATTCAAATAATTGGAAATGTTGGCACTGCTCTTACTGATTTCTAGCCATTAATTAATTTACTAACAAACCAATTTAAGGAAGGATCACAGTGACATCCAGAAACAGCTGTGGACATGAGAAGCAGCAGCAAAGCGAGCGGTGATAAATGAGGCTAACAGAGATGGAGTGCTGGATGAAATAGGAGGAGACAGCTCTGATGGAGCCCAGGGCTTCATCACACGTATCCTGAGGGATGCAATCAGTCCTCCTCCAATTTGGTGCTCAGCTCTTATCGCACCGCCGGGAGCCGTGACCCGCCAACTTTTACGGTGTGGTCCGATGGCAAATAGAAAGACGGGCTCTGTCCGTCTTCCTGTGTCTTCTAATGAGCGTGCCAATAAACTGCAAAGAGAGGGACCAGGGCCCAGGTTCCTAATAATTACTTCTCCAATAATCACCCTATTTCAGCCTGCATACCGGATCACTTTTACAAGAAGCAGCCTTGATGACTTACTAAGTCATCTAATCTCGCTGATACCACCTCAGCTTGTGAAGAAGCTTTTATTCTCAGTGGTGTTGCTCAACCGTGTTGAGAAGTAGGCCCGGATGGAAAGAGACATACTGTGGGCTACTGTTTCCTCATTTAATGTAAACTGTCACTTTAGATGGAGTTAAGATGGTCAATATTAGATTAACAATCATTCAACCTATGGAAGTAGTATTTATCACAGCAAAATAGTCTTTACTATATTTGTATAAGATGAATTAAGACAGCAACACAAAACAAAACGCGTATTGTTTGATCTGGCGGTTACGAGTTTGTGATTGTAAAGTCTTTCTTGTGGAAATATTAAGTCTCATGAAATGAAAAAAAGGAGAAAAACATCTCCAATTAGCTTTTTTAATGATCAAATCACCTCCTCTTCCATCCCAACTTCCTGGTACACAGCTGTAATAATCACTTTTCAGAGGATTCCCCATTGAGACCCAGAAAAGCCCTCTGTAAGGTACAACAGTTTATCATCTTTGTTTAAAAAAACTGCTTATCAAGAATGAAACCTGTTGTGAGGACATACTGAACTTTCCAGTAGCGTGTGAATATTTTTGTGCCGCATAAAAATACTGTTTGCTCACGTCAGAGCCTGGTTGATATTTTAAAAGTTATCTGTACAGTTTATACCCAGCAGGGTTGCGGGGGGGCACTGGAGCCTTGAACCCTTACCTCAGCTGACATCAGGCGAGAGGCAGGACACAGCCTGGACAGGTCAGCAGGTACAGCCTGGACAGGTCAGCAGGTAAAGCCTGGACAGGTCAGCAGGTACAGCCTGGACAGGTCAGCAGGTAAAGCCTGGACAGGTCAGCAGGAGTCAGCAGGTACAGCCTGGACAGGTCAGCAGGTACAGCCTGGACAGGTAAGCAGCTACGGCCTGGACAGGTCAGCAGGCCTGACCGAAAAGAGTCATAATGATTTAAATGAGTTCATTAGAGCAGTGTTTCCCAACCCTGGTCCTCAAGGTACAATGCAACAAACAATGAAAATCAGAACATACCATCAAGATAGCACTGTTTGTTCCATGGGGGAGTAGATTTAGGCAGACCTATTCCAGTAAAAACTCAAGGCTATACCCTATCGCTGCATTATGCTCCACAATCATTGATAAGCTTTATCCTTCTTAATTTTATAATTGGCTCTTGCTATCAAACTTTATTATGGACCTCCACATACATGATGATAAGACCCAATGCCCATTCATGGTACAGTTAGCTATTGTTTTTACTCAAGCTCACTCTACTTTCTCTGGACAGGCCCTTCTTAGGGTCTCGATCAGGAGGAGAAGCAGTGACAGAGAAAGTTCACTCCTGAGGAGATGGAGAGGGTAACCCAGCCTCTTTTTGCCAGGTGATGCCAGTGACTCTGGAATATTCATCTATGAGCACTTTTGTACACAAAGCAAGCTTTCCTCACACTGATGCAGCTTTGAGAGGCTTTCCTGTTTCAGCACACCTGATTTACAT